GGGGATGAGATTTCCATGTGTGGGTGGTTGGGGTCAGTCACCCCCCTGCCGTGGGGGTGCCCCGGGGCTGTCCCTTACCCTGCTGGGATCCAGATGGCTGCCTGGCTGCTGGGGTTTAACGTATGGGGCTTTTTGGTAAAAGGCTAATTCAGCTTTGGGAGGGGCTGTTTGCTCCCCGTCTTGGTGCAATAACAGGAGGCAGCTTTGGCTCCAGCAGGCAGAGGGGTGCCAGGGCAGGCAGGGGTTGAGGGAGATTTGGGCAGAAGCTGAAGCAGGCACAGCACATCCCTTGAGCTGCACCCTGAAGGTCCTGCTCTTCCCAAGTGGAGCCACCTCCTGCCCCAGTGTGTGGCTGGAGCCCAGGTGAGGCAGGAGGTGCAGGACAGGCCCCAGGGGTGCAGCAGCGTTCGGGAAGCTCAGGCGTGGAGCTGTACATAAACCATGGGGGTTACTTTAAGTCATACACAGCCAGGGATTTAGATAACTGTGTTTTGTCCTCTGGGAACATCAGGGGGCATGAGCACCATTTGGCTTTGAGTGTTTGTCATCCTAGATAACACTAAAACACCCAGGGTTAATTCGCTGGTGTTTGCACTTGTGCAGCTCCAGTGCCACTGTGTGGGGTGAGGAGCAGCCTCACACCTCCATCCCTGGGTGGGATTTACACCGAGCACCTGCTGGGCTGAGTGTGTGTGCTAAAACACCCCGGCAAAGCCTGTCCTGGTGGTGCAATCCAGCAGTTTTGTGGAGCACTGGTGGTGTGTGGTGCTGGCTGTCACCAGGGATGAGGCAGAGCAGACGTCCCTCCAGGATGGGATCCTTCCCGTGCAGCCGGCCCTGGGAAAGGCAGCCAGTTAAAATAACAATTTATCCTGCCTGGTGTCTTTCAGGATGGTGGAAAGATCCCAGAGCAGCCCTGCCTGGGTTCCTGCTTTATGTCATGGAGCGGAGGCTGCTCTCCCAGCTGGGGTTGTTTTAGGGTTTTTCTTACTCTTTTCACTGCTTTCTTCCTGCCTGTCAGCAAAGTCTGGGAATCGGATGCATCCCTTATTTTGCACATCCATTTCCCTTTCCTTGCATATGGGAAAAGAAATTAAAGGCAGGAAAAAAAAATGAGTTCACAGCGTAGAAATATAGCTTCAAGGGAGTTACTTGGAGCAGAAAGCTTGGCCTGGGTGTGATGCTCATCATTATCCTCCCACTGGGCACCATGCCGGTACCCTTCCCACATCACTTGGGGCAGAAGTGTTTCCCATAAGGGAAATCTGATTTTATCCCAAGGAAGCTCCTGAAATGGTGGGGGAAAATGGTATTTCAGCGTTCACCCTGCAAGATGTTTGCTGTTCTGGGTCGCACCAGGGTTTGCATTGCTGTGCACTGGCTCTGGAGAGCGTCACCTCGTGCCTCCGTTTCCCCCATAGCAGAGGGGGATGCGATAACCCGGCGTGCGATGGAGAAACACTGTCTGCTGTAGGGCTGTGCTGCTCCAGGGAGTTTTGATCCTGTTACAGCAGGAGAAACTCAAACATTTCCTTAAAGCGCCCCCAATGCCACCCTGTCCCAGTCTGAGTGTTTGCTTTGGCCAGGGAAGCGGGGCCGGGTCTCCCTGGGGGCACGAAGGCTGTCACAGTGCCCGGGGGCTCTCGCGCCACCTCGCTCGTGGGTGGCACCCGTGTTTATTTACCTTTTCATCACCTGATTACCGTGCCCTGCCATGTTGCAGGCGCCAGCCCGTGGGCTGCCAGCCCTGTTTGAGTTGGCAGGAGCTGGAGATTAACCTCCTGCTAAAATAGCCCGACGCCAGCCCCACGTCTGCCCGGGGTGGCCGGGCTGGTTGCGTGCCCTCAGAGCATCTTGTATTGATCTCTTGCAGCCCAGCATGGGCCAATGGCACCATGTGATGGTACAGCGAGGAAGGATGTGACGTGACAAGCTCAGAGCAAGTTGTGAGTGTTCAGCAGTCCCTGGAGCTGTGTTTTGTGCCCCCGCAAGGCAAAGCCCTGTGGGGTGGTGGAGCTCGGGCTGCCTCAATAACCTGGAGGGGACCATGCTCTTCTGCTGGTGGGAATTGGCCTGTGACATTCAGGCACCTATTGCCCTCTTGGGGTATTTCCACTTTCTTGGCTCTGCTCTCCAGAGCTGTGATGCAGAAGAGCAGGAGCAGAGGAATTGCAGATTTTGGGATACTCTGAGCAACCACCATCACTTTCTACCCTTGGTGGTGTCACTGCATTTGTGTTGCAGTATCAGGGAGCCCAGGGCAGGATCTCCCTGCTGAGCCCTGAGCCACTGGCCAAAGAAAGGGGCTATTCAGGTGCCAGCCAGGACTTTCCATTTCAGCCTGTTTGCACTCACCACGTTGTCCGAAGGGAATTGCAGATTTGGAATTTTGCTGGTTCCCTGCCTGCGGCTTGCGGTGGGTTTCCCGGACAGATGGGATATGGCACCAGCTCTGCTGCCCTGCCTGGTGCCACGGGGCTGACTCACACCGAACTTGTGTTTTGATGAGTAGCAAACCCTCTTATTTCTAGTGAGACTTTGGAAGTGAGAGGCATCCTGTTTTCTGGTGGGTTTTGATCGACTCAACCCCCAAAATTTGGGTTTATTGTGACTTTCTGCCTTATTTCTTTCGGTATTTGTTGCAAAATGGGCACTGAGCTGCTACGTGGTGGTGGAAGGAGTCACTGATGGAAGGGAACTGGCTGATTCTCACAGTACACAAAGCTGGGGTTTTTTGGGAGGTGCCCGCAGCAGCGTTGCTGCATTCGGGGTGACAGCGGTGGTGTTACTGTCCCCGGCGGTGTCTCGGCTGGCTGCCCCAGCGCACGTGTTTCCTGAGTTCACAGAAACCTGTTTTCGTGCTTTAATCAAGATCTCATGCAAAGTCCCAGCTCTGCAAGCGGCGCCGCTGCCGCTCGTCATGCAAACACCGTGTGGGAGAAGCGCTGGGAGGACCCCACCGCGTTTTGGGCGGCTGCTCGGGGTGGAAATTCACCCTTCCGCCACCTCGGTGGGCCAAGAGCTGTGGGAGCCCCAGCTGCCTCCCCCGGGGCACCCACCTGCCCCCAGCCCTCTCACCTCACACCTTGGCACCCTCAAAAGTGGAGCCTGGATGGAAATAGCAGCAGCAGATCTCTTCTACTTTTAATTTCGGTGGCTCTCTGGGCTGGGGAGAGGAAGCCGGGGGTGGAGAGGAGCTGGCTGGGAGAGGGACAAGAGCCACCCTCCTCTGACACCCTCTCTGGAGCGATTTGAAACGCTGAAGCTGCTCCAAGATTATATATATAATCTTTGCTATAAGAATAATTATAGACATTACGTCCCAGCCTGTTTTTTAGGATAGCAGGGAATCAGGGTAGCCTTATCTAGGAGGACGTGGGTTTAAAACAACTCCTAGTGAGTGTGTCTGTGAGCACTGAGGAGCTGGTGCAGTTTGAAGTGTAAACACGTCCAGGCTTCTTGTTTTCACTGGTTTGTTCAGTGAAGGTGGGTTTGGTTTGGTTTGGTTTTTTTTTCATTTCTCTGAATGAAAATAGGTGATGGAAAACAGCCGAGCAGGTTTCACTTCCTGCTCTTGCTCAGGGCTCCCCACTGGAGGTGCTTGGAGACAGCCCCATGTTTCATCCCATGATGGGACACCTTGAACTTCATGTGGTCCCTTTATTCCCACCAAGAAACAAAAATAGTTGGAGAAACTTCTTGTTCTATTGTGGAATTATACAATCATTGAGGTCAGACCTCCAAGATCATTGAGTCCGACCATTAAACCAGCACTGCCACCTGCCTGTTGCCACCCCGTGGGGTGCAGAACTAGGCTGAGGGATTTGGGGCCGTTCAGCCTGGAGAAGAGAAGGCTTCAAGGAGTGCCTAAAGGGCTCCAAGAGAGCTGGAAAGGGACTTTAGACAAGGGCCTGGAGTGACAGGACAAGTGAGAATGGCTTCCCACTGCCAGAGAGCAGGGTTAGATGGGATATTAAGGAAGAAGTTCTTCCCTGGGAGGGTGGTGAGACCCTGGCACAGGTTACCCAGGGAAGTTGTGGATGCCCCACCCTGGAAATGTTCAAGGCCAGGTTGGACGGGACATGGAGCAACCTGGGCTAGTGGAAGGTGTCCCTGCCCATGGCAGAGGGATTGGAGTGAGATGGTCTTTAAGGTCCCTACAACCCAAACCATTCCCTGATTCTAGTGGGTGCAAATGGACACAAGCACCCCTCAGCTGCCAAAACCAGGGGGGTCACTCCTGAGCCCTCCCTGCAAGCAGAACCTTACAGTGCTGCCCAGGTGAGGATGCAGGAGCAATTCCCTTGTGGATACCAGGGTTTGTGCTTTGCCCAGTGGCTGTGGGACCCCACGGTGCACGTGGTGTGTGAAGGTAATGGTCCCTCACGGGGATGTGGGAATCTTGAGGAGACCGGTGGGTGTTTGGGAGCCCTTGGGGTTTTTTCAGGTTGTGCGGGTGACTGGACTCGGGTTTGCCTGGGAGCAGAGTGAATGGAGGCTCTGCACCCACCGAGGTGGATTCAGGAGGATGGCTTGGAGCAGCTGAGCATCAGCTTTGGAGTTCTTTCCTAGAGCACTGCAGGCTGTAAAGTGCAGCTGATTAAGAGGAAATGTGGTCTGAAAGTTATGGTCCCCAGCGGGGCTGTACTGGGTTTCTGGCAGGGCATTTTACGGGATGGTTGGACTTCTGTGTCCTGGATTTGGAGAGGGCAGCTGCTGAGGAGTATTTTTTTAGGCAGGCTGAGTGCAGGAATAAATGCTGCTGGAGCCACTTGCAGCAGGGAAATGATGTTTCCAGGGCTGCTTACTTGGTGTTGGACTGAGAACAAGCTGCCTTGATGTGGGAATATGTGCAAAACAAGTTGCATTTTGGGGTACTGAGTGGAATGCTGGGCACAGGGGGAGAGATTACTCGTCAAAGCCCAAACCATTAATTAATCTTTTATTTTTGTCATTTTTTGCTACGTTGCACTCCTTGTGCCGTTGATGAAAACCCACAGAGCTCCCTGCAGAAGAAGGTAAGTCATGGTCTGGAGGTGAGAGGACGTGCCTTGAGTGTGGGTGGAGGGTGCTGGGGACAAGGAAGGGGGAATCTTTGGGGTCTTTTAATCCTGGCTTTAATCCCAGAGAAAGCTGGGCTGACAGCAGAGCTTTTCTGTGGTGGCGAGGCTACCTCTGTGAGTAGAAACACAGGAGGATTTGGTTTCCGTAGTTAAAAACAGACATAGTAAAACCAGGGCAACGCCAGAAATGGAAGCCTTTAATATTAGAGGGAACCCCCCCACTGCAGGGCTGGATGTCCTCACCAGTGCCCACGGCCAAGGGGCACCGGAGCAGGCCTGAGGCAAGCAGGGAGTGGGTCCTGTGGGTCTTAGGGCCTCAGTGGTCTAAATTATCTGTCTTCTGGGGTTTCTTTCGAGCACTGACTGTGCTTGGCTTCGTGTTTTCCCACCAGGAAAGTCCCTCTGGGAGTTGGTGCTGGAGCAGTTTGAAGATCTCCTCGTCCGCATCCTTTTGATGGCAGCTTTTCTGTCCTTTGTAAGTACCCTGGGCTCGAGGTGGGCAGCTTCCAGGGCACTTACAGTCCCAGGTGGCATCCAGACAGCAAAGGAACTGGGAGAATGTGCCTGTGGGATGAAGGAGATGCAGCAGCAGTGCAGTGGTTTCTTGGGCATAATGACAATATCGCTAAGTTTGCTTAAAGAGGGGACTGGAGGATTTTTCTCTAATGCTGATCCATCCAAAAGTGGTATAAAACAACTCCCCAGGCTTCTTTCTGTTCACCCAAGGCTGTTCCAGGCTGATGATTTGAGCCTGATTTGCAGTGCCCCCAGTACTGAGCTGTCAGCTCAGTTTTGCCCACAATCTACTTTGGGAGCAACTCTGCGTGAGGAGACGTTTCCCACTGAGCTGCTGGAGAATGACTGATTTTCTGAGCGCAGTCAGGCTGTTTGGCAGTGGGATGGCAAAGCTGAGACTCCTGTTCCCTCCTTTCAGATATGACTCATGGGTACATAAGGAGGGAGGCTGGTCCCTTGTGGGGTTTAAAACATTCCCAAAACAACATGCAGTGAGGTGAATGCAGATAAAGCAGGAGTGAAGCCCTGTGCCAGAGGTCCTTGTGCCGGTGCCCCTGCAGAGCAGAGAGGTGTTGCTGTGTTGACACAGCACAGGTCCACAAGCAGTTAAATGGAGTGGAAATGTTTATGTGTGTGCTTCAGTCGTGTTATGGTATGAGGTCTTTGTGGGATGGAGAGGGGGCTCAGGGTGGTAGAATCCAGGAGGGCAGTCCCTGCTCTGCAGAGCTGCTCTTGCTGCATCCATTTCTCAGGTGGCATCACTTGCCTTCTGCCCAGGAGGGGCTGCACTGCTGCCTGGTCTCCCCACTCGTCTGCTCATGGCCTTGGTGTCCTCGTGGGTGCACTACACAAAAATGGATGCTTTCCTGGTGCAAGCACTCCTCCCAGGCATTGCATGGCTGTTTGCTCCAGCCCTGCTTGTTTGATGCCTTAGGTTATCCCAGCAGAGGAGTGGAGGCACCTGAGTTAAGCACCAGCACTGGGATATGGCAATTCCACACTTTACCCAAGCCGTGTGGGTCTGGCCACCTCCAGGTTACCTTCTCTCTGGCAAACAACAGATGTTGGCTCTTGTTTCCATTCTTAAAATGTTGGTCCTATTTGAACCCTGCTGTGCTCCTTCTCTTGCCACCAGATCCTGGCCTGGTTTGAGGAAGGAGAGGAGACCACGACGGCGTTTGTGGAGCCCATTGTCATCATTATGATCCTGATCGCCAACGCCGTGGTGGGCGTGTGGCAGGTAAGGCTCAGCCCCCTGGCAGCCCCAGCTCTCTGCTCCACATGGCTGAGGCGCTTCATTCAGAGGCCTGGTTGCTTCCTGCCATTGGATACTCATCTCCCAGAGGCTCAGTTTTCATGCTGGCCATGCTGCCCCTGCACAGGTGCTCAGTCGTTGGCTGCCTCTTGTCTTGTTCCTTCAGTCTTTCTTTGGCAACTTTTGCAGTTTGAAGCCTGTGTTGCACTTACCCAGGCAAACACTGCTTGTGTCCTGGCCAGGGCCAAATGCATTTGCCAAGGAAAGCTTTTTGCCCCCTCCACCAGAAAGCCATGGTGGCTGCTGCCCCTCACCTTTCTGTGTCCCTCCTGGGGGATGAGCAAATGCCTCAGCCAGGGATGCTTCTCTCTTGTATGTATTCACTTTAAAGCCATTTATTTATCTGCAACTTGATCTGAGGTAGGGTTGCTGGATGGGGAAAATACAATTGGGTGGGATATGCTGCTTCCCAAACCAGGAATGAGAAAATCAAGCCCAAAGGGCCATGCACTGTCCAGGATCTGGTGTGATTTAAGCCAGTGGGGAACATTTCGCAGCAGCTGAAGAAGACACGGCCCTTGCCCCATCCACAGTGCAAGTGCATTCCAAACCTGGGGCTGGGGTTTGGGTTCTCCCGTCTTTGCACTGGGTGGGGAAGGAGCCTTCTGGCACCAGCAACTCCACCACCACCAGCTCTGCTCCTCTCTGCTTGCAGGAGAGAAACGCCGAGAGTGCCATCGAGGCCTTGAAGGAGTACGAGCCCGAGATGGGGAAGGTGATCCGGGCTGACCGCAGCGGGGTGCAGCGGATCCGCGCCCGGGACATTGTCCCCGGGGACATCGTGGAGGTGGCAGGTAGGGTGCCATCACCCCAGGGCACAGGGTCAGATGGGGAGGTGGTACTGGCTGGGCGGGCCCCAAAACTGAGGCTTATCGGTCTGTCAAGGCTTCGCCCTGAACATGGGGCAGTGGAGAACAGCAGAAAAGGGATAAAAAAAAAAAAGGAGCGTACATTTCTGACGCAGGTTTTGTGTCTCAGGAGGGTTTCCCCATTTTCTGGAAGAACTGGAAGAACTTTTAATTTTCCTCTCTCTGGAAGCGGCTCTTCCACACACGTCCCCGGCCGAGGCGTGGGTGAAGGGCTGGAGCTGGGTGCTCTGCCGTTCAGTGCTGTGTGGGAAGGCTTCCTTGGGAACTGGGGCTGCTTATCCAGGGAGGGCGAGAAGCAGAGAGGAACAGCTGTAGGGGGCTTTTGCCTCCCTGGTTGGATTTTACGCCCCAGCCCTTCTGTCGGGGTTGTTCATTCAGCTGAGGATTCCTGGGGATCTGCCGCCTGCCCCACCGGAGCCGAGGAGGATGCATTCCAATTATCCCATTTTGTTTGTTCCTTAAACGATGCCGTAAATCCCCAGAGCCACAAAACTAATCCTCTCCTTTCCTCCTCGTGGCCCTGCTGGTGGAAACATGCTGCAATCCCTCCTGCACCCAGCCAGCTCGCTGTTATTTATGTCTTCCAGTTGGGATTCAGCTGGAAGATGAACACAAAAATAATGCAGGGAGGATCAAGCGGAGGAGAGCCGGCCAGATCCTCAGCTGGGCAAGCTGGCGGTGCTCCCAAACCAGCTCCAGCAGTGCACTCCAGCTGCTGACCCGGCCTTCAATTAAATTAATGAATTATTAATTAAATTCTGCCATCTTTCCCCGAATCAAGTGCACACAGCCTGCCCATCAGCAGCCCAATACTACTTTTTAATGGCACAATCAGCATCGCGACCGGGAGGGAAAGAACTGAGCTCCCTGGAGGGGTTTGCAAATTATTAGCAAATTAATTAGCAAATTGCGGGTTGAGGAGCTTATGGCAAGTGGGGAGGATGCTGTCGGGTGCCTGATAGGAAAGCACACCTGGAGCAAAAGCTTTGAACATGCGGTGGGCATCCAGGTGACACCCTGGGGACAGTGTGACAGCGCAGCAGGAGGGACTGGCTGCTGTTTGTTTGCATGTGCAAATGAAATAAATTTGGCAGCAGGGAGCAGGAAACCTGCTGTGTTAAGGCGGGGAGGGGAGGGTGTTTGGAAGTTGGCAGGCTGCTTAAACCCAGCTGGGTTTTGCCCTTTGGTAGCAAGGCCGTGGAGGTGAGTCCTAGCGCAGGCAGCTTTTGCCTTTCCCAAAAAGTGCAGGCAGGGCATCGCTGTGGGAGCTCCATTGGTTGCTGCACCCCCTGCCTGCTCCTGCAGTGCTTGGGCAATGCCAGTGGCTGTGGCCATGCAGTGTTGCCTCCTGTTTTCCTCTCTTTCCCTCGTTTTTTGGCGTGAGGGACACTTGCAGTGTTTGGGGGATCAGCCTGTGGGCAGTAGCTGGTAATGGCAGTGCCAGGTCCATACCAGGACATCTGCCCACCTCCTGGGATGCTATGTCTTCCCTGGAGCAGGTGCCACTCCCACGGCTCTGCTGTCCCTGGATGTTGCAGAGTCTTCCTCTGCAGGTTTAGCTCATGTTTGCAAACCCTCCTGCCTTTCCCAAGGAAAAAGCGGAGCTCTTTTCTCCCTTTAACACGAGCCAGCTCCCTTGAACAGATGCAAAGTCTGAGTCTGTGCATGAAGTGAGTATTTTGGGGGGGGCTGTGGGTACCTGTGCTTAGCACCCCCCAGCTCAGCCCCCCCAAAAATCGGTGTGAGGAGGAGCGGGGCAGGTCTGGCCGGGTGGCAGATGTTGCACGTTGCATCCCAGAGCGCTGGGATCTGCAGCTGGAATAACTGGCTGGGTGGTGGAGCAGTGCCAGTCCCCTCCTGCTGCTCTGGGGGGGGTTTACGAGCCCGAGGAGGAAGCACTCGTTAAAGTCTGGGATTTGGGAGGATCGTTAGCAGCCAAGCCAGCGGTGTTGTGTAAGTGGTGTGTGGGGCTGCGAGCCAGGGCTCGCTCAGCCTCAGTATTTCCGAAGTGTCGGAGCACGGTTGTGTCCAGCCGATAACAGAGCAGGAGGAAGAGCCAGGAGGAAGAAACCCAGTGGGAAAAGCAGCTTTAAATTGGTTTGTTAAGGAAGCACTTGTGCCTCAGAGGGTGGTGTTGAGCGGCTGGCAGTGGATGGAGAGGCTTTCACCTGTGCCCACTGTGCCGTGCCAGGAGACACAGGGATGGCTGTTTGTCTTGGACACAGAAGATCTTCCACTGTCAACAGCTTCCAGTCAGCCCAGAGAACTCTGAAACAGGGTTAAAACTGGTATTTTAGGAAGCTTGGGCTGCTCCAGCATGGGGATGTTTTGGGTTTTTTGCAGGGAAGATGCAAGATGAGAGTGCAGGGGTAGTTTGCAGGGAAGAGGAGAGATGTGGTTGTGGAAGAGCAGGAGACACTGGGCAGCAGACAGGTTCTGCCTGGGATTGGCTGGGGGAGGCTTACAAATTATAGACAGACAAAAATATGCTTTAACTAAGCTTTAAATGCAGAAAGGAGGTATCCTGGGACAGGACCCTGCTTTGCTAGGGGCTGGATGCCTCGTTGCTGCAGGCTGGGTGCTGCCATGCACCTGCACATGGTGGGTCTCCATTTGAGGTTTGCTGTCCCTGCTCCTGGGCTGGCAGGTGCTGCCAGTCCCACCTGATGGGGTTGCTCTGCTCTTGCCCTTGCAGTTGGTGACAAGGTGCCAGCGGACATCCGGGTCATCGAAATCCGTTCCACCACCCTGCGGGTCGACCAGTCCATCCTCACAGGTGCGTGTGGGCTCGATGGAGCAGGGGCAGCTTCCTTCTGCCATCCTCCCGGAGGCAGCTTTTGGGACTGATAGTGGGATAAGTGCTTTGCTGGGGTGGGAAACGGGTGGGAGAGCAAGATTTAGATGCTGCTGGGACCTCTCCAGGCCCTCAAAGTCACAGCACAGGTGAGATGCGGCCAGTGCTTGGGCATCCCTCCTGCAAAACACAAAGCCTGGGGCTTTCCTGTGCGACACGTGGGGTTTGACGTCCCCCTGAGGGATGTTTGGATGGTTTGGTGATGAAGTGCTGCTCTAGAATGCTGTGGGGGTTGTGATCCAGGCTTATACAGTGTTGAGTGGAGGCTGGAGAGGAGACATAGATGGTCCATCTGTCCCCTCTTGTCTCTGCAGGGGAGTCTGTATCGGTGATCAAACATGCTGACCCCATCCCTGACCCTCGGGCTGTCAACCAGGACAAGAAGAACATGCTTTTCTCTGTAAGTCACACTCATCCCCACCTCTCCCGTGGTTTTCAAGGTGAAGAGGCTGATGGACATGGGAGATGTCTGAGCAGTAAAGGGGAGTGCATGCATGAGAAGGACCTGAATTCATCAAAAGAGCCCCAAATCCATAAAAATAAGAACCTGCTTCATTAGAACTTCATTTGGGCTGTGGCACATGATGCCCTTAAATACTGTAGGCAATTAAAACAGGTTTTCCGTCAAGTAGGGTGGATGAGGTTTGTGGTTGAGCCTGGAGCTATTGAAAGTTTGGGTTTCCTCCTTGCTCATGCTCTTCTCAGGCAGAAGTCAAGTCCTCAAGGGGTGAGAGCTCTCAGGAGGGATCTCCTGCTCTTCAGGGTGGGTCTATATAAAACCCCAGGATGTCCCATTTTTTCCCTTAACCAAGATCTCATGTTCTCCTTTCACTTCAAGTGACCCATTTCCCTGCTCAGGCTGAGAGGTTTCATTCCCACATATCCACTCCGGCCCTTTCCTTCCCTCCCAGGGCACCAACATCGCAGCTGGGAAGGCCGTGGGGGTCGTCATTGCAACAGGGGTGTACACCGAGATCGGGAAGATCCGAAACCAGATGGTGGAGACCGAGCCCGAGAAGACGCCCTTGCAGCAGAAGCTGGACGAGTTCAGCCAGCAGCTCTCCAAGGTGATCTTCCTGGTGTGCATCGCCGTCTGGGTCATCAACATCAGCCACTTCAGCGACCCCGTCCACGGCGGCTCCTGGTTCCGGGGGGCCATCTACTACTTCAAGATTTCGGTGGCGCTGGCGGTGGCCGCCATTCCCGAGGGCCTCCCGGCCGTCATCACCACCTGCCTGGCGCTGGGCACGCGCCGCATGGCCAAGAAAAACGCCATCGTCCGGAGCCTGCCCTCGGTGGAGACCCTGGGCTGCACCTCCGTCATCTGCTCCGACAAGACCGGCACCCTCACCACCAACCAGATGTCCGTCTGCCGGGTGAGTGCCGGGGGCCTGCGGGGTTTGGAGGTGCAGTGGGGATGCTCTGAAGCCCCTGAGGACTCTGCGCTGCTCCGTCCCCGTCCTGGGGTGATGGGCTTTGCTGCCCTCACCTGACTCATGTCATGTTAGGAATGGGAAGGTGAGCAGGGAGGGTGGTTTATGGTTCCTCGCTGCGTGGCCAGGGTCTGTAAGGATCAGGGCTTCTCTTGGTGTGGTGGTAATTAGAAAACCTGATTTCTGTCAGCACGCCAGTGTAGAGGTGCCGTGTTGCAGAGTTATTTCAGGGGTTCCTCTCCATGGAGTGTTTCCTCCTGCTGGAATGTGGTGTTGAGACAGACGCCTGGAGATGTCAATGCAGTCAGTCTCCTCTTCTTCTCTTGCTCTTTCCTCCCCTGTTTTTAAGCAAACCAGTGAGAAATCCTGGGCCGTGCAGAATTACAAAGCCAGGATGCAGGAAAAGCATTTCTGATGGAGGGAGCCCTGGGGTGGTTTGGTGAAGAGAGTGAAAGCTCTGGATCTGCCAGAGAGCTTTGCTCCCATGTGCCTGACTGGGTGGAGAGGTGACTTGTTAGGAAAGCCTGGACCATCTGAGTATTTCTCAGTTTCCCCATTAATCCACAAGTGTCAGGAAATCTTTTTTCACGGCCTTGGCGTGCCGGTTTTATTGGAGAAACTTGGAAAATGTGTTGCTGTGGGAAAAAATGGACCTGGCCACCGTCCCTTCTCTCTGACACTCGGGTAGCCTGGTGGGAAGCTGTGACAGTGCTGCAAGCTGGCCATGGGCTTTGGCCACTGGTTTGCTCAGCACAAACTCCAAATGACTGGAAATGTCTGGTATTTCTGCCCTGTAAGTGATTTAGAATGAGACAGGGCTGGAACGAGGCGGTGACCAAGCTGCCCATGTCTTGCACAAGGAGGAGGCTCCTACCAGCCCCATTTTCTGACCCAGTGATTCATGGAAGCATGGAAAGGGTGACCCTAGTGCTTGGAGTCCCTTTAGCTCTGCAGACTGCAGAAGAAGAGGGAGGAATGACCATTCCTTCCCAAACCAGAGGGTCTGCTCCTTGAACTCGGGAAGAAGTGCCATCACCCCCCTCAATGTGGCAGAGTTGGGAGAGGCAGGGTTGGTGATGCTGAGACAAGGAGAGGGAGAGAGTGGGGCAGTGGCACACAAGGGTTTTGGCATCAGTCATTATTTGCAGAATGAACTTAGCAACTTTGCAAAACAAAAAAAAAAATCAATTAAAAAATACAGTGTACCCTCTACCCCATCTCCCCACAGCCCTTTTCTGATATCTGTTATTCACTTGGCTGAGTCCTGCCTCCCAGGGAATGATATTGTGATCCAGGCTTGCCTCAGGACACACAGCCAGGGCTGTTAATGTTTAATGGACAGGGATTCCCGTGCTGACGTGGGCAGGACGAGGCTGTGGGTAAATATTTGTGCTGGGCGGCCGTTGGCGTGTCCAGGACACGCTCCTGGGCCGAGCGTCTGGCTCAGGGGGTGAAACAGCCACCAAAGCCCATCAATAACCCGGAAGCTGTGTTAATTGAGTGTGATTTAATGAACTTGCACGTTAATTTGGGTGAGCACAGCCACTTGGCTGCAGGGTGTGCTGCAGGGTGGTGCCTGCTACTGCTGGCATCAGGTCTGTGGAGCTCTAAAGTGACTCTTGAGAGGCTTCAGGTCTGTTTTCAAACTCTCAGCTGGTTTTTAAGGGCTGTGCTGTACCTCTGGGTCCCTCTCAGTGCCAGGGTCTCGTGGCCTGGGTGCTGTCTGAACCAGCTCAACAGGACACACGTGGATCCCTGGTGGTCAGCAGGGGTGAATCTGTGCCCCTCGGTGTCCCCCCACATGGGGTGCTTTGTGCGAGGGGCCTTGTCTGGGGTGACCAAGACTTTGGTGCTTTTGCTCTGACTTCGAGTCCACTTAAGTTACAGCACTGCAGTAACAAAGCCACAAACCCACTCAGTAAATCAGGTTAAACCTGTGGCTCATGTCAGTCACTGTACGGTGAACTGAGGGTCTCTGAGACCGCCACCTCCCCCAGCCCAGGGTGTGGAGGAACCAGGAACAGCCTTCTCCCAACCTTTAAATAACCACAAAGCTGGCAGGGAGAGAAGCATCTCAGCTCTGCTCTTACATGTTTAACTAATTCCCCTGTTTGGCTGTCTCTGAGATGGCTGCTGGTGTTTTGGGGAACGAGCAGAAAGGGGTTTATTTTCCATAAGGCTTTCAGCAGAGCCTGGACATGCAAACTCCCATCCCTGGCACAGCCACCCAGGAGCTGGGCAGGCACGATTTGCTTTGCACTCTCCAGGGCACTGTGCCTTGGCTCAGCAGTTTTGTCTGTCTAAACCAGTCACCAGTTACTGGGAGACCTGGCTGGTGGTCCCGGGGGCTGTGCCAGTTGCTGGTCGGTGCTACGACTGGGGCTGCTTCCAGCAAAGGAGGAAAATGCTGCTGATCCATGGGCTGATTGATGGAATAGTGACTGATGATTACAGCCTCTTACAATTCCAGAGAGCAATCCTGCCTTGTGTGCCTCTTGATGAGCAGTTCTTTTAAAGATTGTGCAGAAAAGACAGAGTAGTGGAGCTGTGTCCTTCTCACCTGCCTTCCCCACAGGCCCACAGCTGATGCCACGTGCTGCTCCAGGGGTGGTGCATCCCCAGGTGGCCTTTGCTTCCCACAAATACACACTGGCATCATCCAGTTGTGTGATACAGCGCTGGGGCCAGGCAGGATCCATGGGACAGGAGAGAAGGAGTGATGGCTGGAAGTCTTTTGGGGCAGGGTGCACTCTTCATGAGGAGTGACATTTTCCTTCCAGCCTCTCTGTTGTATTAAAACCTCAGATCACTGGTGTGGTTTTAAAAGGTTCAGGGCAGGGGGAAGCCCTGGGGTGCTGCTGAATGGGTTCCCCCTCTTGAATGCTGCAGCTGTGGCAGTGCAAGAGACCAGGCAGCCCCTCTGGGAGCATCATTTGTCAGCAGCCCCCCCAGCTGAGCTGCACCCACGCACCTTTCCCACCTCTTTCTGTTGCTCCTAATATTATTTATATTATTTTTGTGATGGAAACATTACCTCTCCCCTTAACTGCTTAAGACACAGCTATTTCCTCTGGGCTGTTTCCACTGCCCACAGAGCTGCCCACTCCTCAGCCTGGAAATCTGCTGGAACACCGACAGGCTGAGAGAGCTGGGGTTGTTTGACCTGGAGAGGGGAAGGGTCTGGGAGACCCTTAGGGATCCTTCAGTACCTAAAGGGGCTCCAAGAGAGCTGGAGAGAGACTTTGCACAAGGGCCTGGAGGGACAGGACAAGGGAGAATGGTGTTAAGCTGAAGGAAGGGAGATTTAGATTAGATATGAGGAAGAAATTCTCCCCTGTGAGGGTGGTGAGGCCCTGGCACAGGTTGCCCAGAGAAGCTGTGGCTGCCCCATCCCTGCAAGTGTCCAAGGCCAGCTTGGATGGGGCTTGGAGCAACCTGGGCTGGTGGAAGGTGTCCCTGCCCACCGGCAGGGGCGTGGAACAAGATGAGTTTTAAGGTCCCTTCCAACCCACAGCATTCCATGATTCTCTGATCACACTGAAACCCTGCAGACACCTTTGCAGTGCCCCGTCCACCCCCACGCTCAGCCAGTCACGCAAGCTGGGAGCAGGCAGGAAATTTGATATAACCTCTGGTTGCTGTGGGTTACACGGCACCTTTTTTAAATGGGCATGGAAAAATAAAGGGCTTGGAATGATTTTGGGTTTTTTTATTTTCCCTTTTCCCTTTTCTAATAAGAAAGTCACTATTGTGAATGTAATAATTGTTTCGTGGCCGTGAGCATTTGGAAACAAACAGCCCCATATCAGGCAAAACCATCAGTGGCTGGGGTGGTGCTTTCAGATATTTTAATGAATGAGTCTGGTTGTTGTTTCTGAGGGCAGGAGTCCACTTTATGAAGAGGTCAGGAGATTTTGGCTCTCTGGAAGGCCGATGGCATTGGATGTGTCAAAAAGAGCTGAAGGATGCTCAGCCTTCAGAGGTCTCTTTTGGTGTTGTCTCAGACTGAGTGTCCCACCTCACCTGGGGTTCTGGAGTCTCTCATCTCAGGGAGGTTGTCCAAAGGAGACTCTCTTTATCAAGGTCCTTCACACTTTAGTGTTTGCACCCACTGCCAGAGGAGCCCAGTGGGACATCTCTTCTGCAGCCCTTTGGCTCATGATTTTCTTCAAAACCTCCCAAGGATGCTGAGGGGCCTCCAGGATGGGCTCTGAGAAAGGAGCTGAGGGCCATAGCCCGGCAATCAGGGTATCTGCAAATATCTGGGAAGCTGTTTTGTGCTTTGGGAAGGTTGGTTTTTAGGCTCAGAATTATTCCCACGGGAGATGTATGCTTTGAACCTGTTCTTTTGATTTGCCCAAACCTGTAAAATATGGGGGTGAGAAAACCCACTGAGATGTCCTGGTGCTAAACATGCTCTGAATGTGCTTCCCTGAACATGACCTTTATCGCTTGGCTTGGCCCTAAGCTTGTGCCTTCTGCGTGGGGAAGGCTCACACCCACCAGCCAATGCAGCTGCACTGATAAGGTGTTCTTTTATTATTAACAATAATTAATAATAACAGTAAATTAATCTCTGTTTGTTGCTGGAGGAAGTGTGGAGGGGAGAGAAGTGGGTGGTACCAGGAGCTGATGCATCTCTGGTGCTGAGCTTTGCCTCCTGATTCCTCCAGCATCTACTGCTTCCCTCTCCTGGGGAACATCTCAAATAACCAGAGGAAAATAAATAGGGAAAGGAAGAATTATTTTGAGGCAGGGTGTAGGGGGACAGTTGTCCTTGCACCCACTTTCTGGAGCCGCCAAGCAAGTTCACAGAGCTGAGGAGAGCATCATTCCCTGCAGCCACCCTCCCTCCTGCCTGCTCCCTGCAGCCAGGGCAGTGCCTTTGCCAAACCAGATTTATTTGTTCATTGTTACTTTTTGGCTTCAGTGTGGGTCATAAATAACGAAGAGCAGAAACGAGCATTGCTGAACTGTCACCTTGGCTGGGGGGTCGGGCACTGCTCCTGCTTCCAAGGGAGGCTGCCCTGAAAGGTGGGAGGGGATGAGGGGGAACTGGGAGAGCTTGGGGAGAGGGGAATTTTTATTGTATTTTAAGGTTTGGGGGGGTTGTTGCTCTCATAGCAGCAAGAGAGAAACTGGAAGGAGTTTGAAAGGCAAAAATCGCTAAAAATAGAGCATGTAGGACTTTTACAGCTCACTGGGCTGAGCTGTGACCCCAGTAAGGCACAAGACTGGTGGCTGAGAGCTGGCTGGGAAGGGGTGGCAGGGACAGCTGCTGAGATCCTGCCCCACAGAGGCTTTCCAGGGCAGCCAGGGCAGGAGTGGAAACCTGGTCCCAGGTCCTTCTCTCCTCCAAGAAAAACACAGGAGCGGGCTCAGCATCACTCCTCTCTGATGGAAAAGAAGAGCTGGAGGAGGCAAACATGAAAAGGACAGGGGAGAGCTGGAAGGATCTGGGGGCAGCCAGGAGTGGTGGGTGACCAGGGAGGGGGCTGAGCCCGGTGCCAGCGGGGCCATCGCTGGCACGGCACCAGCTGGTGGGTTTCCAGGCTGAGCATGTTGGTTATAGCAAAATGTTGCTGCCTAATGCTCTGTCTCCACCTCTCTCCCTTGCAGATGTTCATCATGGAGAAGGTGGAGGGCAACCAGTGCAGCCTGCACGAGTTCAGCATCACCGGCTCCACCTACGCCCCCGAGGGACAGATGTGAGTGAGGGTCCCCTCTGCTTCAGGGGTGACACAGGGTGGCCCTGGGCTGGCAGCACAGCTGGGGGGAGGTGGGAGGGTCGAGCTCGTGGGCATGGCTGGGGAGAAAGGGGGATTTTCTGTGGTGGTTTGCAGACCTCCTGAATCCTGTCCATGGGAATACCTACTGGGGGCTGGTTTTTGGCCACACTGGGCTTGCAAGAATCAGGTGACTGGCTGCTCTTCACTGTCCACGGGAGCCAGGGCAGTTGTTTCACTGTCCCTTGTCTCTGGCTCCTGCCTGACACGATGTGGGGGCTCTGCCTGTGCCCTCCCACTGCTCAGCAAAGGGGCTCCCTCGTGCTTGGCTCTCCCTTCATTAACAATCCCGATAAAACAAGCCCACTTGTGGACCAGAGAAGATGGCAAGTGTGGGAACAGTGATGAACGAGGCTCTTCACAGTACATCATGGCTCTCCAAATTTCTGGAGCCTGCACGTTTTTGGTGTTGACCAGCAACTCTTGTTCTCACCCCAAGCACGGCACGGGGCCGGCAGCTTGTCCTGAAACCACTGGCAGTGTGCAAAGGGATTTGCAAACGGCTGAAAACCCCACCAGGAAGGTGCTCCCTGAGCCCTGTGTCCTGTGCAGGGATGGCTCCCATGGCTGCTGTGCCCAGGGCATGGCCCTGCTGATGGCAGGATGTGTTCTGGGGGAGACATGGGCTCTGCAGAGCTGCAGCTCAGGGCAGGGAGTGGAAGCCGGGGGCTTTGCCCTGCTGTGTTATCACACACATGAGGTTTCCTGCCCTTGTATTTGTTTATTCCCTCTCCTTTGAAAGGAGGTGATGCTCCCCAGTGTGGGGGAAGTCTGGGAAGGAGGAAGATGAGAAGCTCAGCTGGTGGTGGGAGCATTCTCCACGCCCCTTTGCTCTGTGATTCCAGACACATTCTTCACCACGGTGGAGCAAATATAATTCATCCCAGCCTCAGACTTAATTTCATGAATATTTATAGAGCCAATTTGATCCTTGGCTGGGAATCTCCATTAAAAAGTGAGCCAGGTCATAAGCTGGTGTCAATCAGTGCATTTCAATTAAAATTAAGGAGGATTGAGGGGCTGAACTTGTGTCTGCCAACCTCTGAATTTCAGTGTCCCCTCTCCTCTGGGGACTGCCTGCAGGGACACTGTGTTGGTCTGCAGCAATTCATGTTGCTTCTGAGTTTTGCTTCAACCCTGTGCCTGTCTTGTGTATTGAGAGGAGTGTGAGGGCTCACTGAGGTGTAGTGCAGGGTCCCACCAAGAGCTGGTGGCACCGAAATGCTTGTTTGGCCTCAGCCTGGCCTTGGCAGGGGGCTGTTCCATGCTGGACCTTGGGTTTGCTCACGTCCCTCACAGCACCCAGGCAGCAGCACCTTTGCTGATGTTTTTCCCAGCAGGATCCCCCAGGCAGGAGGCAGTGGCTTTCCCTTCCCACTCACAGCCCAGTGCGGCTTCTTGTCCCTCAGCAAACAGATTTTTCAGATTTTCTTGGCTGCTCCCTGTTTTCCGCTCCTGAGCTGTAACAAGGGCTCCAAAATGTTCTTTCCATTGGGAACCAGCAGTGGAATAAACTGATCCTAGTAAATGCCTGACAAATTATTTTTCCAGCAAGCAGATGACCGGCTGGGTTTATACAGCTCTAACCTGCAGTTACCTCTCCTGGAACCGGGATAATTTTTTATTTCCTTTGAAAGCCACTGCTGCCATTCCTGCCACCAGGCAAGGAGCAGTATCTGGCTTGCCTGGAGTGTTCGGGGCTGCTCCTTTCCAGGATGTTTGTGCTCCTTTCCATAGCAAAGAGCTGCTATTTAGGAAACAAAGGCCACAGTTCACCACTGGCTTGGAAGCAATCACAGCAGTGCAGTCGTTAAAGTTGTCTGCTGCTCTTAAATGCTCCCTTGGGTTCCCTAAGGAGTGCAAAGCAGCACTGCAGGGAGGAGAAGGGCTTGCTGCTGGTTCCACAGCTTCTCTGGATCCCCAGCAAATGGAAAACCCTGAGGAGCAGCCATTATTATGAATTTCTTTCCCCCTTTTCTGGCCCATCACCTTCATCATCAGCCTGTTGGCAGCCCCTGTTTGCAGGTCCAGTGCTCCTTTGAACTCCTCTGCAGCCCCCTTTATTCTGGGCCACTTCCAGAGTTTATTTGCCTCCTGGGATGTTTTATTTGCAATTTAGCCCTGTCCTGTTGCATAAAGCACACAGTGTGAACCCAAGAGTTCATTGCCAACCCTGGGGCTTTAACGGGGCTCTTTCTCCCACTTGTACTAGAGTGATATATAGGATACACATCCCCCTACAAGGAGTATAGGATAAGCTAAGTGTTATTAGAAGGTTGTTTGAGCTGATGTGAGGCTGTGGGGGGTGTTTTCTGCCCACAGCCTGAAGGATGAGCAGCCAGTGCAGTGTGGGCAGTACGACGGGCTGGTGGAGCTGGCCACCATCTGTGCCCTCTGCAACGACTCCTCGCTGGACTACAATGAGGTACAGGGGCTCCAGGGCAGGGCCAGGGCAGGGGGGATGCTCTTCCCTGTGCTTTGGGACAGAGCCAGCGGAGGTTTGTCCCTTGGGATTCCCTTCCCTGGCTTCAGCTCATCTCAAGGTGGTGCTCTGGTGCAGTGGGTGACAGCATGCTCGGTTGGAGCAGCAGGTGGAAGACAGGCTCTAAAGCTTAAGCTCCTTTTTTTCCCCCCGTCCTCTAGTCCAAAAAAGTCTATGAGAAGGTGGGGGAAGCCACTGAAACAGCCCTGACGTGCCTGGTGGAGAAGATGAACGTGTTCAACACGGACCTCAGCAAACTCTCCAAGGTGGAGAGAGCCAACGCCTGCAATTCGGTGAGTGGGGGAGGCCCCTGCGAGCTCTGGCACGGGGGTTGGGAGGGAGAGGAGGGCTTTGGGATGGCTGTTGTTGGAGGAATAACCACTTGCAGTGACCTAAGGGATGGATCTGGCACAAGGATGCAATTTCCTGGCTCGCAGGGTGAGAGCTGGTTTTGGAACAGAGGGTGCCATGGCCTGGGGAGGCGGGTGCTGGGGCCGTGGGGGCCGACCTGGGTTCACATGGAGCTGTGAAGCAGGTGATCCCTGAGTCTCAAACTCAGCCCTGTCCCCGCTCAGCTGGGAGACACTCCCTCGGTGACAGCCAGAATTCCAGCTACAGATGGGGAAGTTTGGAGTTATCTTTAGGTGCCCAGTTTGCCTGAGCAGCTGCCCTCCAGCATGAACCAAACCCCATTCCCCAAAGCCATGCTTGTCCGAGTGGTGCTTGGAAACCTCTGTTTTTAATGTGAAAATATCCCGTGCTGGCAATTCCCCTACTCAGCTCTCCAGTGTTTCCCTGTCCTCCTGGTGAAAATACACTTTATTTCGGATCTGCATTTACTCAGCTTTGATATCATGCCGTTAGATCTTATAATGTTTCAAAGCTGCTCGAAGCTGCTCTCTGTTCTGGCATTTCTTCCCCAGATAGGTCTGAACAGGTCATAATAAATCCCTTTTTGCGCTGTCCCATCCCCTCCTGGCTCCTGGGGCTGCCTTTCTCCTCACATCACTCGTGCTGTGCTGGCTCAGCAGGGCTGTCAGCCGAGGTGGAGAGCACCAGTGTCCCTGTCATGTCCCTGTCGTGTCCTGGCTCAGCCCAGTGCTGTCCCCACAGGTGATCAAGCAGCTGATGAGGAAGGAGTGCACCCTCGAGTTCTCCCGTGACCGCAAGTCCATGTCTGTGTACTGCACACCCACCAGCCCTGGCAACAACTCCACTGGCAGCAAGATGTTTGTCAAGGTAGGGGAGAAGGTCCTCAGCACCCCACAGTGTCCTCTTGGCACATCCCAGCAGGATTTGGCCCTCACTGCAATGGGCAGGGGTGCTTTGCCTTTCCTTCCCCCCCTTTTACCTGTCTGGGGGTCCAGGATCCAGCAGGTAGGCTGGTAGGGTCAGGGAGGAGGTGAGTCTTTGCCATCTTGATAGGCAAAAAAGGAGGTAAAATTATTTAGATGGTGGAGAAGGTGCTGAGTGTGCTGGTGCTGGGGCAGGGGAGAGCTGCCCCTGTGCAGAATTTGGGCACTTGCCTTTATTAAAGGCCTGGACCCTCCGGATACCAGTAATGTCCAAAGGTTACAGCTTTCCACTGTAACCAGAAATAAAATAGTGTTTCAAAGGGCATTTTCTTCCCAAGAGAAGAGATGTGGCAGGAATTTGCCCCCGCTGACTCTGAGAAGATTTGTATATTATTGTTCCCAGTGGGAGATGATCTGGGTGGGTGAAGTCTGTCCTCCCGGTCAGGCTGGGACCCTCCAAAGCCACCAGATCTGCAGCCTCGGGCGAGCTTTTTAAGAGGTACAATAGAAAGATTGCAAGTTTTACATTAAAAAGCAATGTCAGGGTAATTTGTAAGGTCAGAAGGGCTGGGGTCAGATGCTGGGATGCTGAAGGACATGTTTTCCTGAGTCACAAAAGCATTACAAGCATCTGCTGAACATCCCACGCTTTTTTCCATCAGACATTTCCAGCCCTCATCCCCTCCAGGTCTGCGAGGGATCTGTGGGGTGGGAGTGTCTCGGACAGACCTGTAGGTTTTACGGGAGTCAGCTGGATCCCCTGCAGAGCAGATCCTGCTCTTGGTGACCTGCTGTGGGCGCGATCCCGGTGCTCTCGGTCGGAGGCTGCCATCTAGTGCACTGAGCCGCAGGGCCGGGATGTGCCTGATGGAGTTTTGGGGACGCTTCCTCCTCCTTTGCCCGAACTTGGTGCCTTCCCTCCCCGTGGCACTCCCCGCGGTGCTGGCAGGAGATGCTCATCCTCCGGGTTCCTTCCAGCCCCTAAGCCCTCCGTCCTCCCCAGGGCGCCCCGGAAAGTGTGATCGAGCGCTGCACCCACGTCCGTGTGGGCACTGCCAAGGTCCCGCTGACGGCCCCGGTGCGGGAGAAGATCCTGGGCAGGATCCGGGACTGGGGCATGGGCATCGACACGCTGCGGTGCCTGGCCCTGGCCACGCTCGACTCGCCCGCCCGCAGGGAGACCATGCAGCTGCACGACTCCGCCGCCTTCGTCCACTACGAGGTACGGCCCCGGGGGCTCTGTCCAGGAGCTTTTTCTCCTTATTCCCAAGGTTTTCCCACATGCTTCCAGCTGACCTAGCAGTATTTTCTCTTTGGTTTCTCTGTGGGCAGTGCGATGGCTCAACTCCCCTGCAAACCCCGGGGGGGTCGGTCCTAAGGATAACAGCCCCATGTTGCTGGGCATCCATCCCTGTGGGGTGACTGCTGAGAGGGGCTTGGGGACCACTGAGAGGGGATGGGGAGGAGGGGAGCGAAGCAAAAAGGTGTGAGGAGCAGCAGAGGGAATGGGAGTATCCCGTTGTGCTGGAGATGTAGAATGCATCCATGGGGCTGTGGGGAGGAAACCTCCTGAAAGGTTCCTCCCAGGGAAAAGCCCCGTGCTCAGGGTGATTTCACAGTGGGGTTAATGCGGGTCTGGGATACATCCTCCCCTCCCAGAACAACCTGACCTTCGTGGGCTGCGTGGGGATGCTGGACCCTCCCCGCAAGGAGGTCACCTCGTCCATCGAGATGTGCCGCAAGGCCGGCATCCGCGTCATCATGATCACCGGCGACAACAAGGGCACGGCCGTGGCCATCTGCCGCCGGATCGGCATCTTCTCGGAGACCGAGGACGTGTCTGGCAAAGCCTACACGGGCCGGGAGTTCGACGAGCTGTCCCCCGAGGCGCAGCGCCAGGCGTGCCGCCACGCCCGCTGCTTCGCCCGTGTGGAGCCCGCGCACAAGTCCCGCATCGTCGAGTACCTCCAGTCCTTCAACGAGATCACCGCCATGGTGAGCCCCCTGGGAGCACCCTGTTCCCCTCCTCTCTGCCCGGCTCGGTCCCTTACACCCTGCTAATCACGGCTTCGTGCAGACGGGTGACGGGGTGAACGACGCCCCGGCCCTGAAGAAAGCGGAGATTGGCATCGCCATGGGGTCGGGCACGGCCGTGGCCAAGACGGCCTCGGAGATGGTCCTGGCCGACGACAACTTCTCCACCATCGTGTCGGCCGTCGAGGAGGGCAGAGCCATCTACAACAACATGAAGCAGTTCATCCGCTATCTCATCTCCTCCAACGTCGGGGAGGTCGTTTGGTGAGAGCCCCCCACGCTGGGCACCGTGCTGGTGGGAGCGGTGAGGGGGGGACACACATCCCCTGGGGCAGGTGACCTGCCGTCCTGTCCGTGCCCCTTGATCCTGGCAGTGTGTGGTGTCCACATTGGCATCCTGAGCCACCCAACAGAGCAGCAGCCCCTGTTCTCCAGGGGCAGGGGGATTTTTGGTTTATAATTTTACATTCCTGCCATCCCCTATGACCTGTTTTGTTAATTAATTGCCTGTTTAAGCCTATGCCAATGCCTAAGACAGATGCAGATATTTGTTGACACCAGATCACACTGGTGCCCTTTGCATCAGGTCCTGGGCAGCTCTTCCTGCCCCTGTCCCTACCCATCCCTCCCAGTAAATCAACACTATCCTCAGCAACATGAGCATCACTTGGGCATCCTTTGCCCTTTTGCATTTCAGCAGGGTGTTTGTGCTGGGAACAGGAACCTGCATGGCCATGGAGACATCAGTGGTTGGGTTTCAACTGCAAAGCAAATTTTAATAGCAGCAGGAACAAATTTTAGCTGCAGAATTCAGTGCTGGACTTCAGATTCCTGATCAGGGGCTCTGCAGGTTCACCTGCAGGACTTCGGGTGAATTTTCAGTTTGGGGGTTTGGATCCAGGGTGTCTGCTCACTCTCCCCTTGCACGACACAAACCCTTTCTCTGGCTGCCCAGAGTTTGTTTGGCAAAGAGAGATAATTTGGCATCTCTGCTTTTCCCCCACAGCATCTTCCTGACGGCCATCCTGGGCTTGCCCGAGGCCCTCATCCCTGTGCAGCTGCTGTGGGTGAACCTGGTGACGGACGGGCTGCCGGCCACCGCGCTGGGCTTCAACCCCCCCGACCTGGACATCATGGAGAAGCAGCCCCGCAACCCCAAGGAGCCCCTCATCAGTGGCTGGCTCTTCTTCCGCTACCTGGCCGTCGGAGGTGAGTCCCGTGGGCAGAGCTGAGGATGGGCACGGGGTGCCATGGGTTGCAGGGGTGTTCCTTTTGGGTGCTGGGGGTAAGGGTGTCTCTCTCGGCCGCAGTGTACGTGGGCCTGGCCACGGTGGGAGCAGCGACCTGGTGGTTCCTGTACGACGCCGAGGGACCACAGGTCTCCTTCCATCAGCTGGTGAGTCGGGAGGGGAACGGGCTGACGTGTTGACCGATGGGCAAGGGCATGGATTCAAGTGTTGGGGTGTTTTCCTCTACCTTTCCTCTGTGGTGGTTATAGTGTTCCCAGATTCCTAGTGGAGAAGGCAATAATTTAAAACAGAAGCGAGTTCTCTCCCTCAGCCTTGCTTGTTTCCAGCCAGTCGCCAGCATGGTGGGGAAAACTTGATTCAAAGAAGCTGAAAGTAGCTCCTGTGCCTGATCCCACATGGAAAGGGATCTTTTGTCACATTACTGTAGGTCTGAACGGGGTGGTGGGAAGGTGGGTGTCATCCCAGCCCAATGGCATGTGCCATGGAAGATGTATTTTTGATGGAGATGTGTGTGCTCAAACACCTTCTTGACTGCACTTGGAAGTCTCAAAGCCACTCTCTGGCCATAACCCTAAAGCCCAATCACAGCAGGAGCTGGGTCACTTTAGACAGTTTGCTCAGTTGCCCTGAACTGTGGGATATTTAACAGCAACCCAGTTCATCCTGTGCCCCCCAACCAGTCGACTCTTCCTCCTCTCTCCTGCCTTTCCTGCTGCTCTGCCGTGTATTTACCAGCAGTTTCCTGTGCCGACAGAGGAACTTCATGAGGTGCACTGAGGACAACCCCATCTTTGAAGGAATCGACTGTGAGATCTTCGAGTCCCGATACCCAACCACGATGGCTCTGTCTGTGCTGGTGACAATCGAAATGTGCAACGCTCTGAACAGGTGAGGTGGCTGCAGGATTGCTCTGTGCCTGACTGAGTCTGTGCAGGGTCTCTTTGAGCATCTGTGGGTGGGCTGAGAGCTTTGCTTTGGCTCAGCAGAGCCATTCAGAGCATCCTCACAGGGGACCACTGGGTTTTCCATGATCAAACTCCTCCAAGGCAGTGTGCTGCTGCTGATAGCAGTGGAGGAAGGACTGGATCCGCATCCATTAGTGGTTTGGTCATTAGTGATCAGTCCTAATCCATGAAGGCTGGTTGTGTTGAGCGTTGAGATGGAATTTGCAGCAAAGCCTGAAGCTGAGCAGTCTGGAATACAGGGATGCAGCATGTGGCCCTGCACCTTGGAGGGGTAATGGAGCTCCCAGCTTGGGCAGGTGTGGGGAGCAGGAGGTTACTGGGGCTGACGCTCTGTCCCTTTGCCTTCCAGTGTCTCTGAGAACCAGTCGCTGCTGCGGATGCCACCGTGGCTCAACATCTGGCTGCTGGGGGCCATCATCATGTCCATGGCTCTGCACTTCCTCATCCTCTACGTCAAGCCCATGCCTGTGAGTGCCCTCTGCCACCTCTGCCCCTAGCCCAGGGGGCTCCTGTGGGGAAGGACATCCCTGGAGCAATCTTTGGGCCTGGAAGCTTTTGGGATGCTTGTCCCTAAAAGGTGCCCTCAGGTCCAGGTCCTGTGACTTGCAAACCAGGAGTCACCCTGCCTTTGCCTAAGTCAGAAGCTCTCCTTATGGGCAGTGCAAAGGGGTGTAGGTATCTCCAGAAGGTGGTTCAGCCCCTTGTGGTGTCATCTCCTCCCTTTGCAGTTCAAGGCTGGTGATGCCTCAGTCAGTGCCCAAGGGTGCTAAAGGTGAAGTGTGTCTCTGTGCCCAGGAGGTGACATTGTCCCTTGTACCCTGCTGAGCACCCAAGAGCACACACACAGTCCTAGCTTGTGCCTCACTTTCCCCAGCTGCAGGAGAGGTGAAGGACATAATCTTTGACTCACCTTGTCCAAGAGCCACCTCGGGATCATGACGGACCTTGAAATCCCGTTCTTTGGGCTGTCAGGATCCTCCCTCCTTGTGCCTGGGACAACCCTTTCTCAACCTTTGCCCTACAACAATGTGACCCTTAAAACAACAAAATATCCCACCTCCTTCCCTGCTGACGTGTCCAATCCTTTCCACCTTGCAGCTCATCTTCCAGGTGACCCCCCTGAGCTGGCCGCAGTGGGTGGTCGTGCTGAAGATCTCCCTGCCCGTGATCCTGCTGGACGAAGGACTCAAGTACCTTTCCCGCAACCACCTGGACGGTGAGCGTGGGCTGCACCACCCTGGGCTGGGTTTGCTCCGTGGTGCTTTGCTCGGGGGTCGTGGTGGCTCTGGGGACACCTCCTCTGCTCGTGTGATGTCTGCACCTGCGTGTCCACCCTGCTCTGGAAAAGGGGCTTTTCCTCCTACTCCCTTCCTTCCTGGTGCCACGCCTGGCAGAGCAGTTGGTGCTTACACCTGCTTGAAATGCTCCCTTTGGAGCTGGAGCACCGGGTAAACCTGCCAAGGATTGTTTATCCAGCTCCTCTCAAACCTCCAGGAACTGGATCCCTTCACTTATAAAGTAAAACAAATCAAATACTGGTTTCTAACAGGATCCCTTCCTTTTTTCTCTCAAGTCGTCCACCCCTCTCTGTCCATCCTTGCCTTGTCTTGGCTGCCTCTGTGCTAAGATCATCTGAGAGCTGAACACCTTATAAAGTGGTTTTAATGGGGTTGCCCTTGGCCAGCACCTCTCAGGATCTGGCCCGTGGCACACACAGAGGGGAAGCAGCTCCCGTGACACCGGGGCAGAGATTCCCATGTGCTCCTGGGCTCTGTGCTGTAAATCACAGCAGGATTTTAGGCAGCCCTCCAAAGAGATGATATCATCTTTCCTTTCATTTCTTGAAAAAAAACCTCACTTACTGTGGGGGATAACTTGGGGCTGAGTTAAACCCACAGGTTTTCCCAGCGGTGGCTGCGGGCCCAGGGCTGCCTGGTGGTGCTGTGCCTGCCATGGGCTGTCCCCTGTCCAGGAAAACATTTTTTGGGGTGTGCTTGCCCTGACAGTGATAGCAGGGAGAAGAAGGGCAGGAGAGACACTGTCCTTGCCTGGGGAAGCTCTGAGGGCAGATGAACAGTCTGAGTGTGGGGACTGGATGTCCTTCCACAGCATCACCTCGATCAAATCTTTTTGCACCCCTAAGGCAACCTGTGTCCTAGCAAACCCCTCCTTTTACCTTCACCCTGTAGTAATGATCCAGGAAAACTCTGCAAAGTCACTCTTGCCTTTCAGGGCTGAAGGCAGGTCTGGCCAGGCCTGTCAGGGAGGGATCTGGGCCTTTGTTACAGCTCTGTTTGGTTTCTTATGGAGCAGAACCCTGCAAAAAGCTGGAAATATGGGATGGGAAATTATTACAAGCAAGAAATGATCCCAAACTGGCCACCCTCCCCATCAGTGGGTCCTGGTGTGGTGGGGTGCTCATGTCAGCCTTCCTTTCTGCCTTGAGCTGATGCATAAACACAGCGATTGCTTAGAGAAACAGAGGTGCAGGGGCTCCTGTTTTTACAGACCAGATAGAAATTGTTTTCTAGCTTATTTTTATTTAATTGTTGTTTTTCTCACCAGACACCCAGGTCTGTTTTATCCCACAATTACAAGCCTGTAGCAACAATCCATGGCGTGGCACCAGGCTGGGGTGTAGGAGAGCTGGTTGATTCCTGGCTGTTTTGCATCCCATGCATGCCCTCGGTCTTCACTTCACCATCTGTGATCTGGGGATGAGTCTGTCTCTCTCCCACACTTCGTATTTCTCCTTAAAGTCTCAGCAGTGTTGGGGGAAGGGCTTTTCCTTGGCTCTGCCTGCGCAGCTCTGAGCACAGCGAGGTTCCTGGTAGGCATGGGATCCTTCCAAGTGCTATCCTGCCAGCTCAGAGTGTTTCCTCCCAGCGTGCTGGGTCCTCTGAGCTGCCCTCATCCCCACGGTCATGATGCTGCTGATGCTCACAGGTTGCTCTGTGTCTCACCCAGCCAGGGTTTCCCCTGCAGTTATTCAATCACAGCTGTGGGCCAAAATCACGCTTCAATCATCGGATTTGAAAGAAGTAATTGAGATTCTTCGTCTTCCTAATTCCTCTGGGCTTTGAAAAGCAGAGGGGAAAAAAACCTCCAAAAGCCACTTTTATGTGTGGTCTTGTGATTTTTTTACCAGGCATTCTCAGGACAGTAAGACCCGAGTGGAGCGGGGAGCACCAGTTGAAAACCTGCAAGACTCCAGAGCAAGGGTTGGCTTCCTACATGTCTCATCCCTGAATGCAGTATCCCTGTGCTTCCTACAAAGTCTTGCTCGTGTGTGGTGGGGACCTGCTTGGAATGTGTCTGGGTGAACGTGGCTTAGAAAACTAGCCAATACCAGAGCCCAGGGACCCTGTACCCAGACAGGATCTCCTTTCCCACAGTGGCCTCTGTGTTTTGCTTCAAAATAAGGTCTAAGAAGCTTGTGAAGTAGCTGTTTGCTGGCAGTTTTGGCCAGGGGCCAGGCTTGATCTCTGCAAGGCAGCACTTGGGGATGGTCTCCAGCGTTGAGACCTTCTGAGGGATGGCCAAGGGTGTTCAGCTGAGGAATGCAAATGTATAGCTGTGAGCAGAATGTATATTCTGCTGATTCAGGTTTTGCGTGGAAAAATTTCTCCTTTTGATGAGATTTAGATAAGTTGTTGTGTTTCCATTACGCTGGATTTTCCTTGTCCTTGAAGTGGCCGAAAGCTGAGACTCTTCAGTTTTCACAGTGGTCTCAGTGCTTTACATTCCTCTCCCCATCATCCTGGTCATGTCCAACCTTTCATCTCACATGCTGTGCATGTCTGGCTGCCTTCTTCCCCTCCTGGCCCCCTCTAAGGTTTCTGCTGTCTCAGTTTTGAGAGGCAATGTGAGTGTGAGAGCAGGTGAACGTGCAGAGCTGAGCTGGGTTGGCTTGGTGGGAGCTGCAGATGTTCTGGTCAGGAACGTGGAGATGGGCCCTCTCAGGGTCTGTCACACAGATACACACTGGCAGGCTGACCACCCTCAAGTACCTCTTGGTCTGGTATCTTTAATATTTTCCATGCTCTGTGCACTGAAGTGTTTGTTCTTTCTGAATCCTGTGGCATGCAGGAGGATGTTTTCCAGGCATCTGTGCGAAGACCTTGCAGAAGTCCCTTTTCTGAGTAGTTCTCAAAAGGTATCAAACCTAGAGAGGACACTGAGATAACCCTGGTGCTCAAGTAGCTCTGTGCACCCTCACCCCACTGCTGAGGCCACCCTGCTCCCCGCCTGCACCGTCCCTGGGCCTCCTCATCTTCAGCATCTTGAAGCAAACCCATCAGAGCTGGTGGAGTTGCCACTGTGGTTGTTTTCAGCACATTAAGCAGCAGGCCCTGCCTGGGTGCTCGAGCATCACCATTTCTCACTTGTGCTGTGGCAAAAGCAGGGGCAAATCATGAAGCAGGTGCTTTCTGCAACACAACTACGCACCTGCCCTGACAGCAGCAGCATCACTGAAAATCAGGAGTTTTGATGCACAGGAATTGACTTGGGTGTGTTTTGTGGCAGATTGGCATTTATGCAGCCATTTGTCCTTGCACCCAGCGAGCACAGAAGCCCCTGGGGTGATTTTACAGGAGCTGCAAGTGATGACTGCCCTGCTTGGGTCTCTGTTCCCTCCCTGGTGGGCAGCACAGTGCCCCACAGCCTCCTGCTGCCGCAGCTGATGTGCAGGTGGGATTCTCACCCTTGGGTGAGCATCTCCACTGCCATGGGAGCTTTGGCCACTTCTCTGCCAAGCTGGCATCACCTTTATGCTTCAGCATCCTCCCAGAGGAGAGTGGCTGGCAGAAGTGGCAGTGTGGTGACAAGTGCATCACACTCCCTGCCAGGCGTCTGAGACAGCCCAAAATCTGCAGGGACCAAAATCTCCTTGTCCCATCGCAGAACCCACCAGCAGTAGTGAAATAGAGCTGTTCACCCTCGTCTTCCTCTGTGCACCTGGGGATGAGGGAACCCCCCAGCACTCCCCCAGGAGCAGAGGGGCTGCTGCCTGCCCGTGTTCCCTGCGGAGGAGGCAGCATCCCTCTCCCTGGCACGGCAGAGCGGGGAGCGAGCGCCTGCGGCCGTGGCCTGCCCTTGTAGGGTAATCTCTGTGTGGAGCTACCTTGGCTGGGCGCTGGCAGAGGAATGTGTCCCCAGGGGCCAAGTCGCTCCCTTGAACTGTGGGATGCTCTGCAGGAGAGCAGTGCTGCACCTTTCAGTGCTGGAATCTCCACACGGGATTTTCCAGCTCTGCCGCATTGCTCTTTGGTTTTGTTTCCCCCTCTCTCCTGTTTTATTATGTCGGTGTGTCGTGCTTTAGAAATGGAAGAGCAGAGGGAAGCTGACAGCACTGCTGCCCTGGGATGGGAAAGGGATTTCCTTTTTGGTTTTCTCCTGGGGTTTGGGCTCTTGGATGAAACTTGGGGTGCCCTGGTGTGATGGATGAGACGTGCAGTTTTCAGAGCTACAAGGGCTGTGGTGTTTCCTTTGATGGAGGAAGTGATCCAGGCTGGCAGCTGGAGTCTGCATCCCTCCAGCAGCACCTTTTACAGGAACTTGTTAAGAGGAAAGTCAAAAGCAATAAGGAAAAACCTCCTCAGAAGCCTCGGCTGTGCTGGGGGGAGCAGATCTTGCAGAAGCTGAGCTCGCGTTGTTCAGCTGCTGGTTTGCAGGTGTTGAAGGGCTGTGACCCCCCCTGGGAGGTTTGGTGTGAGGCAAGATCCAGATGGATCATCACTGCTCCATCATTCATCATTCCTGCAAACAGGTTCTGCATCCCCCCTGCTCCTGTCACCAGTGTGAGGGGAGGACAGACAGACGCTGGCATGCAGGACCTGCATCCTCCTAAAGCTGAGTGGGAGCCAGACCCTCGGCTGTTGCAGGGCTCATGGAAACACCTGACTCGCTCTGTGCCAGGATTGGGTTATTTAGAGGCCTGAGAGTAGCATTTTGAAGAGCAAACACTGCAGCCATGTCCCTTCCCTGTGCCTGTCTGCTCCATGCCCCCCCCTCCCTGTTTGCACAACCACAGGGCAGTGTGTTTAGGGGAAGTGCCGTGGCTGGTGAATAACCACTGGTGTGTCACCTGGTAGGGACTGTTCAGCTGCTGGAGATGCTGAAGGGACACCCCTGAAATGGGGAGGAGATGAATTTTGATTATTGCTCTGAGATTTAATACAGTGCAGTCACCAGCATCCCCGCTGTGCACCAAAGCCCGCGGTGTGGGGGTTATCTGGAGGTGTGGGGGTTATCCAGAGGGATGCTGCCATTGCAACAAGCCATTTTATCTTGGGACAGCTGGGCTGGGCTCTCCAGCCAGCACTGCAAAAAGTTTTGGCAGAAGTTGCAAAAAGGCTTTTTCCCTCCCTCTCCCCTGTTATTTATTAATTCCCCTGGAAGCTTGTCGGCACCAGGGTTGGCAGCGGGCGCGGAGCTCGCGGGTAACCCCGGGCAGGACCCCTATTTATCAAGAGCACAGTAACAGCAGTCCCCTGTGAGATGTGTTTGGTGATATGTGCAGTGATGAAAGAGAGAGAAATGCAGCTGAAAGATTGCCGATAAGTGATTTCTTAGGAAGTGCTGCTTGTGGGTGGGTTTTTTTAAGAAATAAAACCTGTTTCTGGGCAGAGTGAGCTGCCCCGGGCTGGAGGGCAGCTGCTGCCTCAGGGGGTCAGGGACACTCCTGTCAACTGCTTGAAAATTGAGGATCTGGTTGATGTGAGTCAAGCTCTGGCAGGGATTTTGAGGCTGCTCACATGGAGTTCAAGCTGAATACTGTAGCTTTCCTTCAGGCCATGTGTTGCCTGTTACCTTCCCTGTCCTAGCCCATCCATCTGGAGGGAGGGAGAAGGGAGGAGGGCAGCCCTGGGGCTGGAACAGTGGCTGTGATGAGTAGATTGGTCCTTGCTCATTGTTCTGGAGGTAAATATATGTGTATTGTGTGTAAGTGGTGTCAGCCCAAGGAGCAGCATCCACAGATCTGGCTGTGGCAGGGATGGCTGATGGGATGCAGTGACTTTCCTTTCTCTCTGTCACTGCCTTTCCAGGGTGATCCCTCATTAGGAGCAGTAGCAAGGCATCCTGCCTGCTCATCTTCCCACCATTCTTGTGCCTGTATGGCTCCACCTCACCCCTTTTCCTGCCTCCTGCAGGCTGAGTGTGCCGAGCCCTTCCTCACCCAGGGACCAGCATCCTCCTCCTCCTGACTCAGCCTGAGCTGCCGTGGCTGCAGTTGGACCAGCTCTGTGCAGACAGGATCCCAGGTCCCCTTTTGGGATCAACCAAGAGCAACCACTCTTGATAACAAAAACAGGGAGCTGGTTTGCTTTGAACCCTCACCAATACTTTTCCTTCTCATTTTTTTTTTTTTGCTTTGTTTCAGGAGAAGAGGACAAGAAATGAATGACACAAAGGCAACACTCTGAACTAAAGGATCCCTAACTTGTAACTCGGACTGAAGTCTTGCATGTGTGACCATCACTAGAAGCCAGCAGGACATGCATGTGTCCGACTATCAGACAAATGCGGGTGAATCGTCGAAAAGAAAAATACTGATTTTGTTTTGTTTCGTAGCTTTCTTTCTCCTGTACATACGAGTGCAATTACTGGACAGCTGGCGTTGGGTTTGGGGATGGAGCTGTGTGGACCTGGGTCGTTGCAACGCGGTTCCTTGGGGATTTGTTCCTGCCAAATTTGAGATCCTCTTTCCAATTTTCGCCCTCGCCGGGTGAGCTCAGGCAGGGCATCCTCCACGAAGGGGGGCAGTCGGGATTTTGGGCGCAGATGGGAGGCTGCATCCCCCAAGGGGATGGGGTGAACGAGGGCAGCTTCTGGGGCCAGAAAGGGCTTGGCAGTGGGTGAGGGCAGGGAGAGAGGTGAGGGGGTCGTGTGTTGGGGTCTCTGACCCTTGATGATTTCATCACTGCTGCTCTGCTGGCCCACTCCGGTGGCCAGAGAGTCTGGGAATACCTTCAGAGTGTGCCCGACAGTGGTGTGGATCTCACAGACGTGTGTTTGTACATTGAGATCAGGTGCCTGTGGTGGAAGGCAAAGTTCTCCCTATTTATCGTGCTGTCCTGTTTGATCCCTGCGTTGTGGAAAGCCCAGCACCTTCTCAGGCTCATCCAACACCAAAGCATGACGTAGCCTTGTCTGTCCTTCTCCATCCCACGTCTTCTTACATCCCATCTGCACTATATGAACCACCCTCCTCCTCGTAGGGGCAGCCATGTAAAGCAAAGCATGGGGACACCCACCTTTGCATTCCTCATGTCCACCACTCCCTCCTGGTCACACTTTCATCCCTCAGTGGATTTTTAACTACTTCCCTAGCAGGAGTAGAGCTTAAGTCTTTAGGAGCGTGTCCATGACTTCGTGTCCTCTGCTTTGGAGAACATCACTGTCTTGCACAGGGCATCCTTGCCAAGGGATCAAGATGGGAATGAATGTATGCTTGTACATAACGTGGTCTTTCTCCATGGGTGGTGTTTGTTGTGGCATCCCTTTTTGTGAGGCACCAAGTTTATTTTGCCCTCTTGGGATTTTTCCGCAGCAGGAGCAAGACAGGCTGCAGTGAGGGTTGGTAGATCAGGAGTGGGTTTGGGATCCAGTGAATTGATCTGTCTCCATCAAACCACATCAGCTGAGAAGCTGAGAGTGGGTGGTTTCTTCTCCTGCTCTCCAAATCCTCCCTCCTGTTTTCCTCATGGTCCCCTATGATCCATCCTGATAATATTTAACTAGCCAGAGCCTTTCCTTTCTCTTACATTCCAGCAGCAGCACTAGAGCCAGGGTTTGGGGTAGCATTTTGCTCCTTTGCTGTTGGGTTTTTTCTTCTACTTTTTGCCTCTTAAAAGCTTCCAGTGCTTTTCTGTTTCACCTGGGCAAGAGCTACTCTTCTTCTGTACAGTAGGTGCCAAATATCATCCCTCCTTTCTTTTCTCCATCACCAGCATTGAAGATGAGCAGAGCCCCCAGACCAATGGGAATGTACAGAATTGTTATACTACTGAGCTGATTTATTGTACAGAAAACCTTGCATGAAATGTTGTTACTGTATTTAATATATAATGTATTCAAGGAATTTTAATATGGAGCTCTTTAAAAAGATCTTTATAGATACTCTGTGGTTAGAAGATTGTTGCTGATTTTTTTTTTTAAATCTTATTATACTTTGTCTTGAAGAAGTTTTATTTTTCAAATGTGTTCTGTCTAATTGATTTAATTAGTTGATCCCATGGGACAACCAGTTCCTCTTCAAAGATTTTCACCGTGGATGAGGTTCACCCTGGTGCAGAGGACCAGGGCATGACCCAGGTACTGCTCAAGCCTTCAAGATAAGGCTTCAGTAAGACTAATGCTGTAGACGTGTGATTTGCCTTTCCCCAAAAGGGTGGATTTCACCTTATTTTAGTACACAATAGAATTGTTTAGGTTGGAAAAGTTGTCCAAGATGACTGAGTCCAGTTCCATCTCTCTGTGCAGAAAAATAACCAGTGGGAATTTAATCCAGTACCAGCTCGAGGACATCAGAGGAAACAGCTTCTGTGTTTCCCTGAGGCTGAAAACCAGTTTGGGAGAGTCTGGTCTGGATTCAGAGGCCAGACTGGATTCAGAGCATCCCAGCCCTATTGGGAGGGTCCAGCAAAGCTTTCAGCTGCCCGATGGCATCTCCCTGGGACATTGTGCCTGCAGGAACCTGCTTGGGCCATCCATTGCACCTCCTGAGTTAACAGTGTTTTCCCTGGACTTGAGGTGTGCTGGGGGATTATTAATTTTATCCAAATTTGTGTATGTGTGTGTGTGTGGAGGAGTTCCTGGTGTAAAAGCCTGGGCAGGGTCAGTCTGTTCATGCAGTCGTTGGGTCGCAGTTGTGAGTCACCAAACCCTGAGCCTTCGTGGGCAGCAAACCAGAGCTGGGTCCCAGCCAAAGGCTTGTTCTTTCCAGCAGCAACAAATTCAGTTTGGTTTCTATTGTGAGCCTTCAGATCTACCTAGAAAATAGCACAGGTAACCTGCAGGAGTCCCCCTTGCTAGGAGGGACCATTTTGTCACATCATTTCCCTTTCTGAATGGCTGAGCACATCTCTCTTCCCCCCATCCTTTAATTACTTGGAATACAGGTTTCACTCCATTCTCTTTGATTACAGAGGCTTATACTTCAAATATCTTAATGATGTAGAAAAGTATCCAGTGATGTAATTATTTTTTCTTTTATTCTTCAGTGAAGGGTCAGGGCAAATCACAGAGTAGTTATTTATTGCATGTGTGCCACCAACAGCCCGCTGGGCTGGACCATGTTCTTGTGGAAACATGGAGATCCTAAAGCCAAGACCATCACTTAGGGATCAGGTCTTGGGTCTTACCAAGGCATCTAAACGTGCAATACAAGGGAGATGGGCTCTGGGTGGCTGCTTTGCCCAGGAGTTTGTTAAAAAAAGCAGCTTGGAGGCAAACCTCTGGGCTCCTTGCTTTTTTTGGCAACAGAGTTTAGGAATTATTTCCTTTTTAGTTTTATTTTGATGGTGCTGCCTGGCATATTCGAAGGCTTTAAATAAAACTTAGGTCTTTCCAGCAAGACCTCTAACATCGGTGGGCTGCTGTGGCAGATCCTCCACGAGGTGCAGGGCATAGGATGTGCTGGGGTGGCAGCATGGGATTATCCATGAGCACTTTATACTCCTTCCTCAGGGGCCAAGCACCGTGCTGGGGTACAGCCAAGGTGGGTGGGGAGGGTCCCGTGTCCCCGGGGCAAACACCCAGCGGATCAGCTTTGGGCAGCAGCTGTGGAAAGTCTTTTGTACTGTTTTGGGATGTTGTGTCATTGTGGGCAGTTGCTGGGTGAGCTCTTCCCCCTGTGGTGTGTGATCCCGTGGGGAGGCAGGTTGGAAAAGGAAAAAGAGCAAAGTAGTGCATCCTGTGTTTTTTTTGTGTTGTGTGGCCGCCGTAGGGCTCAGGGTGTGGATGAGGTTTGGGATTTGTGTGTTTGAGGCTTTGGCATTGGGAAGATGCCCTGTGTATGTTTCTGATGCCAAGGCTGGATGGTACCACCAGGCTCTGGAGAGGTCAGCTGGAAGGACAGGCTCTACTGGAGGGGACTTTGTTCCTGTAAAAACATCAAACCTGGGATGGAACCAGAGTTTCTGCTCACGGCGTGGATGGTAGAAGTAGCTGGAGGAGCAATAGGAAAATTCAGCATTAATTTTTGTTTCTTCTTTTGTACATCAGGCTGATAGTGCTGCTCCCCAGACAGGGTCCTGCTCCACCAAAACTCCTCAAATAATTGCTGTGCAGGGGCTCAGGCTGAGAGATGTTCATGAGGTTGTGACCTTGGCATCACATAACTCCTGAACCTCAAACACACCAGAGTCCCCAATACCAACTCCTAAGACTTATTGTGATTTTTGGACCATGCCTGCCATGGCCACCACCTTCTATAAATGATGCCAGAGATTCAGGCCCACCTGAGTTGGTTTTTTCCCCCAGTTCTGCAGTGGCATTTTCTGTCAGGGGAAACAGTGTGGACTCAGGTTTTTGAGACCAAGGAGGCGGCTTCACCCCGTGCAGAGCTTGCATGGCAAGGTTAGGGATAGGGTTTGCAGGGCTGAAGAAAGGGAAACACAGGGTGAATTGTGCTCCCTGGACTTTTCCTCATGGTGCCATTCAGCTTTTGGTCTGGGTGGGGCATTAAATGAGCCAAAATCTGTGTGTGCCTGGAGTGATGGAGCCGTGGGTACCTCAGGGGGCAGGTCAGTCCAGGCACTTGGGACCAAGAGGAGGGTGACCACTGAGCTGCCAGGGGGTGCCCTCAGTGGCTTGGGTCTGGGAATATGTTGATTATTTTTTATATGAGTTGCCTGAACAGCCAAATCTAGAAATCTCTGAGTTCGTGCTCTGTAGCAAAAGATAAATCATTATATCTTGGGGGGAGGTGGGAGGGTGTTAACTGAGGGACAGAACTGAAAGAAATGAGGTTTCCTATTTTATTATACGAGAGATATTTTTCCACTAAATTACTGCTTCCTAAATCGTGTCCTTTGTCTGACTGTAAATAGCCAGGTGTGCCGGGAAGACGTGGGAAGGCTCCTCGTGGTCACATCCATACAATCCACTCTGTTCACACAATATTGGGCTGATTTGTTTTATACTTAGAAAATTACAGAAATAAAAGCGATTTTACTGGATGACTCTTGG